TTCCCCCTCCCCCTCACCCCTCATAACTTAACCAACCGTCCCCATACTCAGTCAGTCCTCCGAATAACCGCGTCCCCACCCACCCAATGGATCCCTCCGGTTCGGAGGTCTCCGAACTTCATCGCCCTCTTCCGACCCCAACATCCAAGCACAGAGTCACCACAAAAACCACAAGCACAATTCCAAAAGGTTCCGAGGCGTACAGTTCACAGCTCACAGTTCACCCGATATGTAGATGATCAGCCAGCTGTCACCTGCAAAACATGACTCACTAACCATGCTGTCGGGAATACCACCACCACCACCACCCATCACTTGATCGGGACTGGGTTTAAGCGATCCCCTTTCACAAAACTCCTACAGTGCATGAACCTAGAGGGGCAAGCACAGGAGACATGGTGACGGGTCGGTGCAGGCACGAAGTGTGTCGCGTGCCCAAAGTAGGACATACACATCAGGCGGTTCGGTGGTGATTGTGCACACGTTACCGTTGCAGTGGACGGTCAATGGGCGAGGTTACATGCCTGACGTCTTGGGGCAAGGGGATCGTCCGAGTCTGACTCGGTGCTACACCGGCTAGATGGTGACATAAATATGGGAGCTTGTTCGTTTCGAGGTCTGTACGTACAGGGCTCGACATGGACGGCAAATGGCCAGTAAACGTGACATAAGAGAAGACATGAACAAAAGAATGAAGAGATGGAGCAGAATTAAGACCCAAATATCCTGAAGGAAAGAAAGGAAGCAAGAAAGACCACTTTCCGCCGGTCAAGTTTCCTGCGGATGCCTCGAAACGACAATCATGTGCTGCTGAGTCTAATATAAACCAACGCCAGTGATGCTTCACCCAATGACTCCCGTGATGGCGAGGGTGATGATGGTGCCATGGGTTCCCGTATCCTAGCCCGTGCTCTTGGTGACCAACTCCTCCAATCGCTTATATCGCCATTCGTACTGCGCTAGCTGCTTCTTCTCGGCCGGCGACAGACTCTTGCCTTTGTCCGCCATCTCTTTTTCCGAATGCTTGAGCATCTCCCAGCGCCGCAGAATCCGCGCTTGATGTTCCGAGATGGATGCCAGATTGGGGTCTTTCGACGCAATGCGTTCTTCGATCGTGGAGTGGTAAGAGAGCTTGGCATGGAAGAGCGCCATATCGGTTTCGTCATACTTGAGCCCGCGCGCTTCAGGGAAAGCAGATTGATGAGCGACTTTCGGTGGCATGGTGGCAACGTCCAGTGAATCCCTCGCTGCAAGAATAAAGTGCGTGACTTGTCAATTGGGACCTCCGAGTCAGACTTAAAGAGCGAGTAGTCTGATGAGACCCTGACGATTCTCGAGGAAATTGTAGGAAACGATGTCAAGCTCCTTGAAAAGAGAGGAGAATAACAGCCCAGAAATAAAAGTGCGGAGCGACTCTTGGTGAAGGCTGAGGCGTGCCGGTCTTTATCTTAATTTATCGCCCCCGTTGCAGCCTTCCCAGGATATCCAGTGACAGCCACCAAGGTGATACCGGTGATGCTATCAGATGCACCTGTCGCCAATGACGCTGCACAACAGAAGGCAACGGCTGATGGCCTAATGCTTCTATAAATTTCTCACCGTATGTGTTGTTTTGCCCATCTGTGTCCGACCCGTTTGTGTCGGCTATCTCGTGATGATGGCTGCAAGCCAATCCCCTGATGAACGAGGGCTTCGTTTGTTCTTCTTTGGGACGGATTGTGGAACCCTCTGGATGACACTGCCGCAACCGAAGTCGGTCTAGAGAGTGGCATGCCTAAGCCCTGCAGAACCTTCTTGCTTCATTTTCCCCTCTCGTGCTAATTTTACCTGGCCGTCTGTCGGCCCGCTCAGGTCGGTGAGTATCGCGGTACTGGAGACGGCCCAGGCTTGCATGGACGACGGTAATTCTCAGACCCTGTTGCTGATGTGGTGCTTGCATATGTAGTGGACTGCAAACACACATGAACTCTACTGACAGTTGACCGTGCCGCGACCGTATCCGAGGCCATGCGACTCGTTTGTTACACTCAAGCAAGGACGTCAAAAGGGGCCTAAGAGGGAGATGATGCTCGCCCCTGAGAGGCAAAAACCCTAACCAACCCGCTCCGCGGATATGACGATCTGACCGGCTCGATCCACTTTGGCTGCTTTTGCCCCTTCGCCGTGAGAGGGATTTCCAACTCTGTCAAAGGCCCACAGCTGTCACAAACGGGGGCGCAGGGTTTTCCCTGGGATCTGCGCATCTTGGAAGGCAACCTCTTTGACGACTATAGGGGCTGTCTGGTTTCTTGATTTTCCCTAATAATCCCCGATTCGTGGCTCGTTCCGAGCAATATGCATGTAGCCGCTGAATGCGTTGTTGTGTGACTGTCCGTGGGAATGCTAGCCATCGGATCCGAGGGGGAGAAAAATAAATACCTATTCTCTGCAGTTATGCAAGATGTCCAAATACTTCCCTTTGAAATCCAGGGCGAAAGTATACCTCTTGGGCCCAACATCTGACCGGCCCGTCGAAACGAGGCGGCCAAACTACTCGGATCACTAGACGCCGTTGGCCCGGGTGGGCCTCAGACGCCGAATTTTCCATTCCCTGCATTCAGATGCATGGTTCATGCTTCCATCCGTGTCTGTTGATCATGCGGACCGGAGCAGTCAACGGGCTCCTTGCCGGTGTAGTGCAATCGCTCCTAAAGTATATGAAATCTAGAGTTCAGGCAACCTGCTATTTTTGGCCCAGTTGGTGATCATGAATGTAGCTCCTGCTCGTTTCATTATGACGCGCGGTGGAGATTCTTGAAAGTTGTCGATTCGTCCGCAATTGAGGTGACGAACGTGATGCCCGCGGAAGCTTCATCGTGACATGTGACTTCATCCCGGAACATATGCCATAGTAACTATGGTGGTTAGGTTAAGGATATGGTAGAGCCTCCGCCAGTGCTTGTCGAATACACAAAATAAGATCAGAGCTGTGGTGTTACTGAAGAAGCTATGCCCAGACAGTAACTCTAAGTCGAAGCATCCCGTCAATCGGTGCTGCTATGGCAGACTCGCCCCTAAGGTGTCTGCCCCAGCATTTCGAACAATATTCGCATGCCCACACTCTTGAGCGGCCAATGGGCCTCTGCAACCTGCTCTTGCGTTCCATATGCTTAGGCCCATCCCCTGGCGCCACTTGAGACTGAGTGCAGCTGTATACGACTCATGCCATATGAGTTATACGGCCAATCCCTTGAATTCTATCAGAAATCGATATGCCTGAACAGGCATTGGGGCATCGTGAGGAGCAGCAGTGTCTCAACTTCATACAGGTTATGCATAGTGGCGCCCAATATGGCGACAAATGTTGCATCGGTGGACGTAAAGAGCAAATGACCGCAACGCTGCTACAATGGTCTGGTCGCCTGCTCAATAAAGTGGCCGGGATGTGCTTGCAGCAGCACAAGACAGTATTGCTGGCGACGTCTGTGAGGTCTGAGATCTCTCTCCAAAACCGGTAAATTTAACCACTGCCCATGGATGTGAGGTAGACAACATGCACTGCCGTCGCGCCGAGACTTACTGAACCACAGTTGTTGCATCGAGCCCCCACGGTTCCAGTATACCCCACGCATTCAACGTCACCCCATTATTGCCAGCTAGAAATCGGGTTGCACTTGGTCTTGTGGTTCCCATAGGAAGACTGTAACGAGAGGGTAAAATAAGCTTCGGGATCAAAGGGAGGCGGACAATGTTGTGAATCCGGTAAACGAAAAGATAGTTGGTCTCACTCAACGGAAATCTGATTTGGGGAATGGATTACGATCACTGCAGTGTTCAAGACGTCGGCTCTATCTTCCCGCGCCTGACGTGGTAATGGGGCGACTCGGGCGGTAGAGCATATATTGATCGTGACACAACTGAAAGCCGGAAGTAAGGCTTCCAGAAGAAGAAACAGAACCAGTTGTGAACTCTAAAAGTCACTCATTTCGAATAATGCGGCCATGGATATCGTCATACAGACACTGCAGATTCAACACACGCATCTGGTTTTGGCTGCCGGGGACCTCAAGGTCTAGTGCAAACCTGTCTATCATTGTGTGGAGGAAGGATGGTCACCTTGCTGGGTTTACTTTCATCACTAACTTGAACAAGTCATATTAGCAACTTTGTGAGATTGTACTGACGAAAACAGGGAAAAGCCATGTTGACTCACTTCTTACCATTGCATGACACCCGACAAGGCGAGGAATCACGACCACCTGCGTGCGATAATTCCACAGAGACATGCACTGCTAGTTTCAAGTCTATGCCATGCATCATAAGCATCGTGACTACCGATAACTGCCCGATCGTCACTACAGCTGGCTTGGTTGCACCCTTAGGCGACAGGCAATGAAACATGCGAAGACCAGCCATGTACGAGAGACTAGCCCTTCCTAGAGCACAGTTGCTCAGCAGCAGCCTTTGTTCAGTCTGGGGGCCACTCTGGCCATAGGGCCTTAGTCCAGTCCTCGACCCTGTCAAATGCACAACACATCAATGTTCGCCATGGGGGGACAGTTCTTGCCTTCCAGGGATAAGGGGGGTCCATGGTGACGATGCTTGGGTCTCACACATTACCGCATTGACTGGCTTAGATCATCAACAATGGCTTTGCTGCGGTTACACAGCTATATGTTTGTGGCAGAGTTTGTGGTGGCCCGAGCTGCTTGTACCACACACATGTTGATATTCTCGCCAGAGGAGCTTGCTCCTTACGGAGCTCTTTTGCCGCGGGGCTCTTGCTCGGGTTGCCTTCGGAGATAAGAAATCGGACGAAGTAGTGATCAGGACAATTTCAGAGGATAGAAGCGAAGAGATGTGGTGTGGCTTCGACCTGGGGGGAGTAAAAAGCAATCATTAGCAGTCCTGAGCGACATCCTCCAATGGAAACGACTTCTCTGACCCAGCAATGCATCGCCTTCTCCCAACCTCGGGCGAGACTCGAATGGGTGGCAATGTCAATAGTAATCAGCCCGGGTTTATGGATGATGATTTTCATCTCAATGCAAAATGACATCTGGTGGATGGGAGGGCAAGATAAAGAGAAGAAGCCGGGCATCCAGAGGAAGACCCGCTGGGGATCCAGAATGGAAGGAGCCTCGTGGGCACATGATCAGCCCTCTTCTTCACCAGGCTTTGGTTTGATTTTTTGGCTTCCGTGGGCTCAAGTCAATGTCTACTTTTGAAACCTAGATTTTGATGATATTAAAAAAAGGGGGGTGTTCTTGCTGAGCTAACCGTCGATTAAGATACTCTCACTGCAAAACAAAGCCTAATAATCTCTACTGACACGTCCATAGTTAATACAACTGGTCCCAGGGTGCGAATATTGCGAGGGTGCATTCCTCCAAACGATAACAAGACAAGGCCAGGCTAGGACCTATAAGAAGGGGCAGGGTGTTGACCATGATTGTTCCCGTATTATTTGCACTCTAGATGGCGATGGCGGATATGCGTACAACAAAAATACTCTCAAAAGCAACAAAGAGGATGCAAGCTTCTCGTCATCCGATAACTCAGTAAGGCTGATCTCCAGCCAGCCTCAAAATAGTACCAGTCAACGCCAACTTCTCCATAGGCTAGCTTCGTTTACTATGGCACATATTATCCCTCATTGCCTTGCCCAAATACATGATAATGGGGCCAGTGTGCAGTCTCTTCGTACTGGTAAAGTGATGCCGCCATTTCGCCCGATCCTCAGGGGTGACAAACTTGGCCCGGGTATAGGTGGAATAAAAATGGTACAAATGCTCTCGCTCTGCTGTAGAAAAGCGTAATGTACCGTTCTAGGATCCCAGATAGTCATGCCTCCGTCTCAGCCTTGATTTGACTAAGTTTGCAGCCATGGTCTTCGAACCATTTGACATCATCTTAAAGGAACCAATCCCAGGCTCCACGACCAGACTGGATTTAACCACGGCCAGACTCCTAGAATGAGCAAAGTGTACTGAACCGGCGACATCCCATAACTGTCAGAGGAAGCGAATCAACAACGATGGGAAATACACCCCCCAGTTCGAATGAGCATTCACAATTCCAGGGGCCCCGACATCATCTACCGACCCGAGCGCTTATTCCCTCTGGGGTGACGATCGCAATTGAAAGTGTTCCTCGATCCGATCATTCTTACCATGCAAGAAACCCCGCAACCACCAGCAGCAATATCGCCTACGAAGCACAAAGAGACCAGGTCCATTTTAAGAAACATCTTTGTGCGAAAAATGTGCGGCCAAGTTTGCGGAATTGAAGCATACACGTTGTTCAGACTGGGGTATATAGCGGCTCGTATCTTTTTGTTGTTGATTCCGGCCGAATCATGCGGTGGTCGCTCTAGTTCACTACTTTCCCTACGCATGTCACTAACAAGTAGGGCCGCACCCGCTAATTTAGCGCCAAAGTCCCTGAGCCCCAACCGTAAGGTATAAGTAGCCACTTGGACCCCGACATCCCTGGTCCGCATTCTTGCCCTGTCCACTTCCACCATGCCACTCGCCCATCTACCAACCGAGACTCTTCTTATCATCTCATCCTACCTGCGACATCAACGGGACGTCTACGCACTCGTCCGTACCAACCGTCGTTTCTACCACATCCTCATAGACTTCCTCTACAAATACAACAGTCAATATTTTCATGCATCAGCACTGCCCTTCGTCGCAAAACAAGGACACAAACATCTCGTCGGCAAGCTGCTAGACGGATTAAAAGGCGCCGTGGGAAAATCACGTAGACTCCCACACTCGGAACGGCGCCGACAGGCCATCCTAGACGGAGCTGCCCTCGACTCCGGGTCCGAGAGCGATTCCGTCTGGTCCGACGGTTCAGTAGAAAGTGATGAAGGCCACATACCCTATCTGACAGATATCGTAACCCACCCCTTGCGTGCAGCTAAGTATAGCACGACTGATATCAACACCATCCAGTCGGCCCTGATCGCTGCCATACGAGCCGGGCACAAAGACATAGTGACACTTCTTCTGGACCGGGGCGCGCAGGCAAACTTCTACCGGGGACTTCGTCGGGTCAATACCTGGCGTGAGCCCCACCGATATCGACGGCGCCGTGCAGACCATCCGCCGCTGTGTCAGGCTGTCCAGTGTGGCCGGGCCGATCTGGTCCAGATTCTGTTGGCTCGAGGAGCGGATCCCGATCTATATTGCTTCTTACCGCTGTACCAAGCTGTCGCGGGTAGGAGACGCGATATTATACGGCTGTTGCTTCAACATGGAGCGAAGGATCATTCGAGCTCGTTGAAGCTGGCGGTTCGGCGGGAGGACATGTCGATGGTGCAGTTTTTGCTGGACAATGGAGTCCGAGCTGATGAGTCGGGTCGATCAGCTTTGCTGGTGGCGAAGCGCAAAGGGGCGGAGGATATCGTTGAGTTTTTGCAGTCGAAAGGAGCCACCCTAGATGGGGAGGTCAGGTCCAGTGACGATTCGTGGTATGATGACTTTGACGAGGAGTTGGATCCTGATCTTCCTGATTGGCCTTCTCCTACCGTTCCCAACGCTGACCATGTGGTTTGCTATCATGAGGAGAGTGATGATAGCGATGGCGTTAATGAGACGAATATAGAGCCTGCGGTGGTGGTTGACGGCGCGAGGCACATTTTATCAAGATTGGCACGACATTTGCTTTTCCGATAGCAAGCGAAAAAGATAAAGGAGAGTCACCGGTTGTTTGAGCAACTCTTGGGCCAGGAGGCCATGGGTGGATTTCCGCCGATGAGCACGGGACCATGCCCAATCCCGATCCCGGGGAGCGAATGGCTTCTTCCAGCACTGCCGTTTCTTCTCCATAGGTGATTATGGAACATCGATTGACGACCAAGGTTTGCACGGATGACGACACAGTGCTTGGTGTGCCCCTTGAGGTAATAGCCGCCATTCATACCCTTCATCCAGAGGCCTGCATTGTACTCTTTGAAATCGAGGTAGCCCATTTCAAGTGCTTCATGTCTACCATCTCTGCTGTCCATGCTAATCAAATCCTTCGTTCCAGAAACCCATCCGGTATCCTGCACCCTAGTCAAATCCATGCCAGTCCCTATCTCCGGCTGAATACTCCCCCACGGTACAGCACTGCGACAACAGATCTCCACCATTCTTGGCACTTGACCCCAGAGAGCGATGCTGCTGAATCAGCGGAAGTTGCGATGCTCCACTATCACTAGTGATCTTGGAACAGCGCCGATCATTTCGGGACATCCCATCCTCCAATAACCTTGAGCCTTTTATGCTGCAGCCTGGCCACTACCTGTCCGATGTATAGCAATCTATGACGATTCTCTGGATCGAAGCAATCTCCTGGGCTTGGGACTGTTGCGTAATGTCTCAAGCCAAGAACCGCCCTTTGCTCCCTAAAAGGAAATTTGAACTTGCCGAGACAAATGCAGATCCATGGGAAGACCCATGAGGTAAACTTCTTTACAAAGCCGGGACATACAAGTCGTCCTCTTGACCTATCTTTCTCGTGAGGTACGCCAAGGATCTGACGATGCATCCATTCGTGGTGAAGATTCTGGACCAGACGCAGGCAGAGAACGGAGCTGCCAAGCAAGACGTGCTCCTGCTGTGGATATGAAGGTCCACAAATGGACAATCAAGATAATGGCCATTATGGCAATGAGGCATTTGGACCGGAACAGGTCCATCTTAGCAGGCCTCTCGAGACATATAAAGGCGTCTGTATCGCCCTTCAACCACAACAACACAACAAACTGTTCGTGGTCTGATTCTGCCAAAAATGTTCTACTCAAATCTCCTTATTACTGCTTTGGCTGCGACCACAGCAATTGCCCACCCTGGTCCGCACGATATCCTGCCCCGTGCAGAGATCCAGCGACGCAGCGACATGGCTAAGCGATGTGCCGAGCATGTCGCGAACTTCAATCAGCAGCGCATGGCCAAAAGAGCTATGCAGAAGCGCTGGGAGAGGTCCGGCCACAACACGACGTTCGAGATCACCACAGAAGCCCCTTACTATGAGAACATCCAGAATGACACCTGCGTTCTTACTCCCGAGGTGACTCGTGGTCCGTATGTCTGGCCACGCTCTCAGACCCTGCGTCAAGATATGACAGAGGACCAAGTAGGCATACCCCTGTGGCTCGACGTGGGAGTACTGGACATGGCCACCTGCGAGCCTTTGCCCAACGCCCTTCTCGATTTCTGGCACTGCAATGCAACCGGCTCCTACTCTTCATTTACCCATCTCTCGCCGAACACTCCATTCGAGGAACTTCTCTCGGAGCTGAACATTACCGACTATGACCTGGGTGTCACCGACCTGCACACAGACGATACCACCTGGCTGCGTGGCATGTGGCCCACCGACGAGAACGGAGTCATGGAAATGAAGACTATCTTCCCTGGTAAGACACCCTTGACTCTTACACAGTCATAGTTACTGACACGCATTAGGCTTCTATGTCGACCGTGCCATCCACATCCACGTCCAAGTGCATACCGATTGGAGCCTCCGCGAAAACGGCACCATCATTGCCAGCAACACCGTCAGCACTGGCCAGATTTACTTTGATGAGGATGTCGAAGAGAAGCTTATGAGTGTGGAACCTTATGCTTCTCATACTCAGATCAACCGGACTACCAATGCAGACGACTCTGTTTTCTCTCAGGACACAGAGGGCGGATATAACCCGGTTGTGTCGGTTGTTCCTGTGGATGGCGAGGATTTGGCTAACGGGATGTATGGCTACATTACCATCGGTGTGGACACGACGGCGATCGAGACATTCAATAAATAGGTCGCTTGAGTTCGGAGGACACTGCGAGCCAAGTCAGCATCCACCTACATGCAAGGACCATAGGTATGATGATTGTGGTTAATTTCGTTCTGTACCCTTAGATTTGTACAGATAACCCTTCTTTATCTCATAGATTAGAAGCTAGAGATACAGAGAAAGATGTTTTCGAGCCCAAGCCACTGTGTCGCAGCCGAGATATATTTCCCATCCCACGGGATTCAATTAGAATAAAGCAGCGAAAGAAAAGAAAGGCCCTCAGCAGAAACCAGCTTAACACGCTAAGGTTCTCTGAGTTTGGCTCCCAACCAACCAACACCGGAATATCACACCTCGCCTGACCTGGCGCATTCAATCCCGACTCCAGCGCCGAAAGAACAAAACGCCTGAATCCAGCCGTACAGGATCCATCTCAATCTTTATCCACGTTTGATCGAATAGACAAGGTGGCTGTCAACATATTACATCCCCTGAAACACATTTCACTAGGCACCGTTAGATCTTTCCTGCACCACAAACCTACTTTCTGGCGGGGAAAGGTGAAGCAAAGATGATATACTTACCAGCTTGCATCCTATGCAGCGCTTACCAACCCTATCCGCAGCGGCATCATCAAGATAGCCTCATCTGCTGCATTCTCTATCAATCAGTTAGTCAGTCAGTCCATCACCACTCACCCCTCCCCTCCCCCCAACCCATCCACCCACAACTCACCTCAATCAAAAGCATCCACCAAATCCGAAAAAAAAAAAACAGATACCCAGATTCAAGAAACCCCCCTCGGAATCCTCCTCCTCCCACTCCCCACCTCCCCCCTCACTCTCTCCCTGCCCCTCTCCCCATCCTCCCCATCCTCCTCCTCATCCTCATCCTCATCCTCATCCTCATCCACCCCCTCAAACCTCACCCTCAACCCATTTCCACCTCCCCGCCGTCCCTGCCCATTAACCACCAAGATCCCCGTTGGATAAAACGCCGCACCCTCGCGTACAGCCCCACCAGGCCGTCTCGGCGCATACTCATCCAGAAACATCTCCCAGGGGTCCATGGGCAAGCGGTCAGTGGGAGAGATCAGACCTTGGAGAACGAGGAGGCGGTGCATGGCGCGCACGAAGACGATCCAGTCTGTGCCGTAGGGACGATGCGCCGTGCCGTCGGGGGTGGTGTGGCGGTGGAGGATGAGGGTTAGGGTTGTGAGCGTGGTTTGGATTTCGTGCGTGGATTGGGTCATGTTCTTTCTGGATGAGATGGGGATTGGGGTTGTTGGTTGGTGGTTGATGGTTGGTTATGGTATTCACTTTGGCCTTGGCCTTGGACGTAGACTGGGTGTTGATCGTAATGGTGATTTTTGATATTGGACTTTGGTATCTCGTCCTCAACAAGTGCTCGTGAGATCCATAAGTGTTATGGAAAAGGAGGTGAGTGAGAGAAAGATAATACAAGCACCTGCAAATTCGTTTGAACATATAGTCCATTGTGTGTTAAACGGGGCAGAATGCGCGCGTGGGGTTGTGGCTGCAGCTGTGAGGCTCATCTTGATGGTGATGAGAGGTGAATAGGTTGACTGCGGCTGTGCGTGTCGTTCCGTCGTTTGGATCGATTGCAAGGAGTCAGCATGTTTATTGTATTGATCTTCTAGTATGAGACAGGGTACGTTTAGATGCAGATGCATAGTACCTCTGCTATCAGTGGGGATTTCCCCGCACTCTACTACCGATAGCCAGCTATCACTGTCCCCTCCCGCGGGAGCGTCCCACACCCCGTGGCAGCCTGAGGGTTGATAAGAAGATCCCTGGCATCTCCTCGTTCCAAGTGTCACGACTCTCACAACTCCTGACAATCATCAAACTACGTTGCTTTCACCATGCATTCCAAGATCGAAGAGCCACCGAAACTGGTGCTTTCCGGCACTCCAAGAGAAGTAGAGATCCTCCCCTTTCTATACCCCTCACCTCTATTGATAACCCACCCAGATCGGCTTCAGTCATGGCCAGCACCTCTTTTCTCAAATTCACAGCCAAATCTCCATCTACGGCGAGATGTTCCGCGTCAACTGCAATCTCTCCTGGGATGCTGTCCGTCTCGAGGCGGAGCAATTTAGCGCCACCATCCAGCGAGCCACGCCCCATCTTCATGAGGAAATGCAGGGGATCGCGGACGGTGCGGGAGTGAAGCTCCTTGATATCGTGGCCTTGAATTGTCGGAGTGAGATCACTTTTGGCAAGTTTACGGATGGATGTACGAGTCTTTCGTGGAAGAGAGGCGAGAATTCCCGGATTCTGGCTCAGAATTGGGATTTTACACCCCTGGTGCAGAAGAACTTGGCTTTTATGGAGATTATGCAGGTCGGAAAGCCGACTATTTACATGGTTGCTGAGGTGAGTCTACATTCTATATTGATGGAATCAGTAATTGACGGCATAGGCCGGAATCGTGGGCAAAATCGGGTTCAATAGCGCCTGCATCGGTACCTGTCTTAACGCCATTCGTGCACATCCATGTGTCGGCTCGAAATTGCCTATTCATGTTGCTCTGCGGCTATGTCTGGAGAGCAGCTCCGTTGGCGATGCAGTGCGAAAACTAGAGTCTCTGGGTGGAGTTGGATCCAGCCAGCATATCTTGATCGCAGATAGTACGAGCTCACTGGGCCTGGAACTCTCGCCGCTCGGGGATGTACATCTCCAGCCAGATGAGTATGGCATGGTTATACATACCAACCACTTCCTGGAGAATGTGTACGTCAATGAGCCACCGTGGTTGTCCGGGTCACCTGTTCGTCTGGCCCGCGCTCGCCAGTTGTCCCGCGAACTGATTGACAGTGGGGTGCTCGAGGAGGATTGTATCATTCCTCAGGTGTTTCGAGAGAGGGTCTTCTCCGATCTGTATAACGCTCCGCAGTCGGTCTGTGGCCAGGAGGATATGACGCGCCAGCAGATCGCGCGCACATGTACACTGTTCAACATTGTCATGCGTTTAGACCCAGCAAACCTTGGGGCAGAGGTGGTGGTTGGTCGGCCGGGGTCGGGAGAGGAGACTGCCGTTGTGAAGATGCCATGGCATTGAGGATATTCCTTGTGGATGGTGAGAGAGTGTGCAATATCTCAGTTGGATTGGTCCGATATACGGAAAGTAGAATGTGGCGGTCCTGACTTGTCACACACCCGATAATATTGTTCGTATCTACCACCAAGCCACTGAGTGAGCCATGGACCTCGAATTCGGCGTGGTAGACAATGGATAGAGAATCACTCGACAGGATCATTCCCTATGAACTTCACGCATTCTCTATATCTACAAGATTGATCGAACTTAACACCTTATGCAATTCTAGTGCTAGTAAACCCGACTCCTCATGCTCCACAATGCGTCTCAAAAATCAAAGCAACGAGATCTGTTTACTCCGTAGCTACTGGCGGGATCTTCACCGGAAATACCCTCGAAGCCGACTGACCAATTTGAAGATTTGATTCTGGCTTATGTCAGATGACAACACGAGTTATATTCTGCTTGATTTTCGGCATTTGAGCGGTGATGGCTGGGAGGGAATCCACAAGACGGAGCTCCGTCGGTGGCTGTGGTGGTTCGTTTCCGACCATACTCTCTGGGGTGAACCCTTCTTTGAAACAGAAATCACTCTCAACTGCAAGGAGAAGGTGAAAATATAGATGAGGGGAAATGCCGGATTCGGAGTTTGGTGTCTTGAAAAGGAAGATAAGGTTGAAGGAGGGAGGAGTCGTGTTTACAAGCCAGGCCCTTCTTACTGGCGGAGGTATAGAGAAGAAAGAGGAGAGGGGATGACTACTAGTAGGTAACTACCTACGACATGTGGGATGCTTATCACGTCCCACTGGATCCATGGATTCCTCTGCATAAGCATTCTAATCCCTCTCTCCCGATTGGTTCTGCGCGTATTCCCCACCTGATGAACAATCAGCGGTCCCGAATTCGTCATTCCCACGTCCCATATAAGACGGACTGTTATCGCGCTCGAGCTGCCTGCCACGGCCCACCGGACAATCGTGTAGATCCTCCACATCGAGTCGCCATGGCTTCCGCCACAGGTATTCCCCAGGAACACCCTGATACCGTCCAAGAGCGCGAGGATGCGCCTCTGTTGGGAACCCCGGGCAATGTGCCCCAGAAAGAGAGTGCTGCTATCTACCAGAACCTCTTTACAGGTGAGTTGCTGATCGGTGGGTGGTGCTTATCCGGCTAATATCTCATAGGCACCGCCAGCGCTGCCCAGGTCGGAATCTGGATGGTGAGGATTCCACCCATCCCATTTAATCTGTATACATTGCAAATGGAATCATTACTAAACTGCCCTTCAGCTTGCCATCCTCGTCTGGACTGGGATCTTGACGCATCCGTTGATCTTCTTCTCGTCTCATCCAGTAAGCTACCGCCAACACCATCATCACCACCATCAAAACTAATCTTCCAGCTCCTCAACTCCGCGGCGCTCCTCCTGCAAGTCCAAGCAGCCCTCATCCTGCAACCCACCACCACTCCGCACCAAAAGCGCCTGGGAACCATCATCCATTACGTCATCCAGACCATCAGCGTGCTCGCCTTCATCACCGCCTTCATCATCATCGAAATCAACAAGGGCGACCACGCTCGCTTCACCTCCCCGCACGGCGTGCTGGGTCTCATAACCTACATCGTCATTATCCTTCAGGCCCTCGGCGGCGTCGTGCAGTACCTCGTCCCTGTTCAGGTCCTGGGCAGTGTGGAGCGGGGAAAGAGCCTCTACAAGTACCATCGGAAGTCCGGATACGTGCTACTGCTCCTGGAGTTGGCGACCGTGGCGGCGGCAACGCAGACGACGTATAACCTGAACGTGCTGGCAATTCCGTTGTGGGGAGTGCTGGTGGCAGCGGTGCTGATTGTGGTGGGAGTGGGAGCCAGAATCAAGAAGCATAAGTTGGGGCTGTGAGATGTGACATTATTTATGATTATGATGGGTACGATGGCCTGGATTCGGGTCTTTGCACAATTGGTGGGATTCTCATGATAGGCACAGTTTGTATAGTGAGGTAGTGCACAGATGAGTAGCTGAACAAAGCACATTGGAGGATCTTTTGCAGGTTGATAAGAGACCAAATGCATCTGATTGATCGCAATGACCACAGATTATTATACTCCGTAGCAAGCAGTACATTGTTTTAATGCTTATTCGTATAGCCACTACTCCGTATCGAAAGACTAATCGAGCAAGTGGCTCCGGACGCCCAAACGGGAAAGGCGGCCGCGGAGCTTCTTCAACGTCCGCCATCGTCGCTTTTGCTTTGAACTTCTCTTCTTCTCTCACCTCCAATGGCGCCTCCCAGACCCCCCTACGTCTGCCTCAATTGCAGGCTGTTTGCCCGTCGGCCCTTCTCCTCGTCGGCCCGCCGACCGGACACCATCCGACCGGCGACGGCCCCCAAACCCACCCCCGACGTCAAGCACATCCGCCAAAACCCCGAGCTCTACTCTCAGAACTGCGTCGACCGCAACTATCCCGCCCACGCCCAATACCCTCTCAAGATCCAGCAGCTGTCCGATGAAGCGCGACGTCTCGACCAGGATCTCAAAACCCCGCGATCGCGCATCAAGGAATTGGAAAAGGCTATCGGCAAAATCGCCAGTGCTGCCAGCAATGGCTCCGAACCCAGCGAAGACCTGGCCTCCCTCCGCGCCGAAGCAACCCGCCTGAAAGATGAATCCAACGCCATGTCCACTCGCAAGACCACCTGTGCCGATGAAATCAACCGTCTGGCCCTGTCCCTCCCCAATCTCTCCTCCTCCCACACCCCCATCGGCGCCGACCCAATCCTGATCAACTACATCAACTTCGACCCCCAGTCACCCCCCGAGTGGGTGACTCGCCCCGACCCAGGTCGCTCGCACGTCACCATCGGCACCAACCTGGGACTTCTCGATTTCACTAGCTCCGCCATCACCACAGGCTGGGGCTGGTACTTCCTCACCAACGAGGGCGCCCTGCTGGAACAAGCCCTGGTCCAGTATGCCCTCAGCGTCGCTCGCCGCCACGGCTGGAAGCCCGTCTCCCCTCCCTCCCTCGTCTACTCCTACGTCGCTGAAGCCTGCGGCTTCCAGCCCCGCGACCAGCACAACGAGCAACAGATCTGGGCCATCGAGCAGACCGAGAAAGACAAATCCAAACCACAACGCTCCCTCGCCGCTACCGCCGAAATCCCCCTCGCCGCCATGCACGCCGGCCGCGACATTCCCGCCACCCAGCTACCCCTGCGTCTCGTGGGACCCAGCCGCTGCTACCGCGCCGAGGCGGGCTCTCGCGGCGTCGACACCAAGGGCCTGTACCGAGTGCACGAGTTCACCAAGGTCGAGATGTTCGCCTGGGCCGACAACCTCCCGGACACCAGCAAGGGTGGTGTCACGTCCGACGACCTCTTCGCGGAGCTCCTCTCCATCCAGACCGAGATCCTCACCGCCCTGAACCTCCCCTGCCGCGTGCTCGAAATGCCCTCAACCGACCTCGGCGCCAGTGCCAGCCGCAAACGCGACATCGAAGTCCTCTTCCCGTCGCGACTGCGCGCCACCGAGAAGAACAGCGCTCCGGATCTCGAATCCGGCTGGGGCGAGGTTACCTCCGCGTCCATCTGCACCGATTACCAGAGTCGTCGCCTGGGGACCCGCGTCCGCGGCGGTCCTGTCAAGGAATCCCGGTTCCCGCATACCGTGAACGGCACGGCCATGGCCGTTCCGCGCGTGCTCGCCGCTATCCTGGAGAACGGATGGGACGCGGACCGCGAAGTGGTGGTTATTCCGGAGGTGTTGAGGAATTATATGGGCGGGATGGAATCTATTGGAAAGAATTAATCTTTCGTAGATGTACGGATAGATGTATGACTAGTATGGTGAATAAATGAATGTATTCTACGTCTTTTACTCCCTAGCGACCTACTTGGTACCCAAACATACCCACTTTTCTCACCTCACCTCCTTCCATCACCATCACCCACATACGCTTGCTCTACCTCATACTCTCCTACCTGTGACTTATTACTAAATCGAGAAGGAGCATATAGAGGTCTACATAGTACTAAGTACAGTATAGTACAAAACGTAGTCCGGTCCTCTCTCTATCGAATGCCAATATCCAGTAATCAAACATCTACTTTACTGACATACACATTCATTATACCGATTCGTTTATGGATTATGATTCTATGTGCTGGATGGAGGGGACAATAAGCAAGGGAGAAAAAGGCGGATGTTTGAGGACATATGCACGCTACTAACTATTTATTCGTCTAGCGGAGTACTTACTAACCTAACTAGATGGCTGGTTCATGGGATGGGTAGTCAAAAGGGGCGAGTAGGTAGGGGAAGAAAGAGAAATGTTTCTCATGACATCGTGGACACATTCATATCGTATCAGGAACAGAACCCGGATCAAACAAGTGGTGGAAAAAAGCTGGAAACGAAACAGACATTCGTAAAACAGAACATGGAACAGATGTAACATGAAAGCCAAGAAAATTCAAACAATCGTAAGGTATCTTAAACCGTAAATACCAGGGTATCGAAGGCGTAATGCGTAAAAGGGTGTGTTATGTCGTTACTTCTTTGGGCCGAGGTCACTCCCAGGGAATATCCTCGTCTCCGACTTTCGTGCAGGTTAAATAGGGTAAGCCGCCCTCGCTGTATTCGCTGCCCTTGAGATCCAGTTCAAGAAAGTTGCGCATGAGCGGCTTGACGATTTCGCGGGCCAGCCGCTTGATCTCGTCCATCTTGCGCTCGAACCGTTTCAGAACTTCGCGCGTGTACAGCGACTCCGATGACGGCGTTGGGTGCACTTTGAGAAATCGTTTGAGCTCCTCATGTGGCAGATAGGCTTGGCTGCTGGAGGAGCCGATCAGACGGTACACGCGCGCCGGGGACCAGGGTGGTGCCGTGGTGGCGGGCTTGGAGCTAGAGTCCGTGGGTCGGTGGCTGGTCGACTGCGAGCCGCGACCGTTGTGGTTACTCGTGCTAGCATGCGCGTTCGACGAGCCATTCTTGAGAATAGGAGTCGGCGGCGGTGTGGTGCTGTCGACGAGCCATTGCCGGAAAAGAGAAACTGCCAGCCAGTCCAGGTATGCATTCGTCGGACTGACACGCTCCCCCCGTGAGGTCGTCAGGGTCAGCCGCAGGAGCTTCGAATCGATGCGCGCCTTCAGGTCTTCCAGGTCTTCCACCTTATCCTCGATGATGTCCAGCACGGCGTTCGGGAGCGGCGAGTACGGCCCGTTGCGCAGGTGCGGCAGTGCAGCCGGCCACTGTCCCACGACGTGGATGAGCGCCTCGGAGAAAATGACCCGGCTTCGCGCAAGATAGCCCAGCTTCAGGTAGCTGGGGGGATACTTGGCGATTTGCTTGAATAGTCGAGAGCCAAAGCCCAGGAGATGATGGTCCACTCGGGGTCCGGTCACAGGCAGCGCATCGTACATATCGGCCAGGTTAAGAAGGGCCCTACACTCTGAGTAGGCCGTCGCAATATTGACGCTGTTGATCGCAGGCGGATAGTTGTAGAACAAGCGGAAGAGGTTGTCGTAGTCGCGGATGATGGGGTCCGCCGGGGAGTTGGCCATACTGGCGCGGTTTGGCAGGTTCACCACTGACTGCATCCCGGCCAGGTTTGCCATGGACCGGACGAAGCCCGTTTGCGTGTTCGACGGCTTGGTCACGGACGGAGGGTATTGCCCAGCATCGTACCCAAAGGCGCTGGAAAAGCTTGGTGGCTGGCTCAACGATCAGCATCTGCATTATGAACCCCACAATGTCTCGGATATACCGACCTTTTGCACCAGAATTGGCTCCTCGTCCTCCGCCTTGTTCACCCAGTCCAATTCATATCTCCACCGTCTTTTCTCGATTGACCAAGCGGATCCTCCACTCTCCGACTGGGCGAGGGTAGACCCGTTTGACAACGAAGAGGTGTCTTCACTGATTCTCGACAGGACCCCCGTGTCCAAGTTCGGTGGCCGCGGAACAGATTGTCGCGACCACTCCTCGCGAGTGCTCGCCTCGAAGAACCCCGAACATTGCGCCAAGATCAGCCGATGAAGGAGATACCGGTGTTCCTGCCCCCCTGCGCGGATCACAATCTCGACATCGCCCGTGTGCGTGAAGATAGGAAAGTCGTTCTGGAGCTGGTGGGTGAGACCGCCATGGTGGGAGCGACTAGAACGGTGTCGCCGGCTGGAGTGAGAGTGACGCGACACGGACGAAGGAGCACTCTGGGGCGGCTGGGAACGATCAAGGACCTGAGCTTGGGAAACCATTTCGATGGGGATAACCGTAGTGGTGGGAGACTTGGTGGACATGGTCCTCAGGGGAAATGCGCGGTGACCAGACGGCAGCGAGTGCTGCAGTGTGCGGGCCGTCATTCAAGTCCAGCAACACGCGCCCCGATCGGAATTCGTCGACACGGCCAGAGAGGAATGTTTGGCCGCGAAAACGGCCAGCGGGTTTCGCAGCAGAGTGGAAGTGGCGGCGGATTCCCGGCTGTTGATCCCCGCGCGATAACAACACGGACCACCAGGGGAAAAGAAGGCGTCTGGAAGAGTTAAGATATAGGGCGAAGGGCCAGGAGACTTTGACTGAATGCGACAAGAATGCAGCCAAGGCGATAAGGGAAGATGCAGACTCCGACGGAGAGGTTACAGCCGACAAATAAACACGGGGTCCAAGAGCATGGTTTCACTCTGAGTCCGGGGAGAGTAACTGCGTGCAGCGAGAGAAAAGGCCACGGCAATAAGCCTGTCCACCGAGAGATCCACACAAGCACCCCGGGCGTGCCAGAACTCCGATGAGCGTTGAGACTGCGAGACTGCGAGCGACCGATGAGAGGAGAGACGAAAGAGATGAAAGAGTCAATTGCGAGCCTCGCACAACCCGCCCTGATTGGCTGTCGGGCTCGGTCCCTTCTTGGTTCAGCTGCTCACTGTCGGATGACTTCCGGCCCTTCTGTGCCCGGGCCCTGACTCCTCAGGCCCATCTCCTTCATCCGGATGTCCCAGTCACCCTGTTCTCTTCTCATTCATCGCCATCTCAACCATGAACCCATCGCTTCCGGCCCCGGAATTGAGGCATCCACCGCGTTCCGTACGGAGCGGTACCGCGCTAGCCCCATCCCGTTAGCGGGTCTCAGGGTGCTGACTCAGCTGCACCCCGCCAATCCCCGAGCTTCTCTGCGATCCTCGTTTCGCGGCGCAGTCTCATCATCTTCTCCTTCCATTTCCTTTCCCCTCTGCATCCCTTCTTCTCTTATTTCTCGGATCGGGCCATCGTGCACTTCATCCAGTGTGAAGCTTCAAGTGACTTGGATTGGGCTGGTCTCCCCCATGTTGGATGAAGCTCCTCCCTCCACACTGGCCGTGTCGTAACACACCCCAATGATGGCGAGTGTCATGCTTGGATACTCGTCTCGAGCCGCCTGCATCGAATTGCGATTCCCCCACCCGCCAGAACAGTGACTCGCTCGTCTGTACCGAGGCCCGGAGTTATGTCGAAGGGCTGCTATACCTGTCGCCGCCGCCGCATCATCTGCGATAACGGTCTCCCAACTTGCCGCAAGTGCCGCGATGCGGGGAAGGAATGTCTGGGGTACCAGAAACCCCTCGTGTGGGTGAAGGGGGGCGTGGCAAGTCGGGGCAAGATGATGGGTCGCAGCTTTAATGATGTGATGCAAACTCCAGACAACAGGCGTGACGACTCGAGCTCCGTCTCCAGCAACGCGTCGCCGCCGTCGGCTGCCGATTCGCCCAGTCAGATGGGCCCCGATTTGTCCATCGACATCAGCCTGTGTGCGCCCCCGAACGTATCGGGCATCCAGGGGATCCTGGATTCCACACAGTCGGAGGATTATGACAATCAAGTTTCCCTGCAAAGAGCTGGATCGATCCCCGCACCGTGGGGTCTGGTGGATCCGTTGTTCAAGGACCTAAGTCAGCTGTCGAGATACTACATCCTTCATTGTAGGTTGCCAGGTTTTCCGTCGACGTGATCCCTGTCTAACCATGCCAAAGTTAACCAGAACCTCGCCAACTACCTGACACTCTACTCCGATGCCCGGAATCCGTTCCGTGATCTCATTCCCCTGGTTGGCGACTCTCCTCTCCTCTCCCACGTCCTCGCTGCTACCGGCGCCTTGCATTCCGCGATCCTAGCCAGCGGTGACTTCTCGCTCGCCCCATGGCTGTCGGAAGGTTCACCTGCACCGGGTCCATCAATGTCCCCCGAACATGTCGAGAAGGCTGTGATCAATTCCATGTCCCGGCGCCCGGCTTCCAAGGTCTACGAGCACTTTCTTGGGCTCAAACAGCGCGCACTACAACAACTATCGAGCGATATCCAAGACCCTGTTCTGCGCAACGACAACCGAACCCTGGCAGCGATCATGGTTTTGGCTCTCATGGATGCTATCGAGTCAGGAGACGGCGCATGGAAATACCATCTGGAGGGGGCCAAAAAGCTTCTAAAAGATCGACAGGACCTACGGACCTGCAACCCGGCCCAACACATTATCAAATGGCTAGAAGATTTCGCTGTCGACGGCTTTCTCATGTAAGCTCTATCCCATCTCCCAAGTGCCTGCTCATACTCACGCCCCACACCTCAGCATCCAACTCATGGGATCCACCCTCGCTCGCCCCGGGTCTCTCACCAGACCCTTCTACACCTCCAGCATGGGCCCCGCCATGCTCAAACGCCTCGAAGAAACATCCTGGGTTGGCTGCCCGGCTTATCTTCTCGAGGTCATCTTCCTCATCCACGCGGGACTCTATTTTGACCCGGACGTCGACCCCAACTCCCAACCCACCATGATCTTCTCCTCTGGCTTCCTCCCCGAAAATTCGAATCCGCTTCAATCCCCGGGCGCTCTCCTCCAACACATCCAAGCCTTCGACCCCGCCGCCTGGGCTGAATCCATGCAAAGCTGCTGGTACCTCGCGGATCTCTCCATGCGCACTGCCCTGGCAGCCGTCTACAAAGGCGCTGTCTACCTCTACGCCAGTCGCGTCCTCTCTCGTCCGCGGCCGGGTGCTACCACCATCCCCAACCACTTTGGACTCGCCTCCGATCATGCCCTGGTTGCCGACCTGACCATCCGCCAGATCGCTCTCATCCCCATCGCAGATCCCCACTTCAAATGTCTCATCTGGCCCACTTTCATCGCGGGTGCGGAATGCAGAGACCCGTCCCAGCGGCCATTCTTACTCGACAAGCTCCGCGCCTTATACTACGACATTACCAGCGTGAATGTCCGCAACGCGGCATGGGTATTGAGCGTGATGTGGCAGAAACAGGACCAGAAAAAGGCCGAGAAACGCAGCACCCATGCTAATACCGAGGGTGGTACTTCTTGGCAATCACACTCCCCGTCCACCACCACCACCAATAGCGACCACACTCATGATGACGATGTTAACGACAACGAAGACGACTTCGACTGGATCCAAGAGTTGGACGAATCCCGAATCGACTGGCTATTCATATAGACCCTCTCTTCTTCTTATTCTATTTCGATGGACATATTCATGATTCTTCTACATTATAGTATATATCTAGATAATGATTAATTTACGGTGCTCTATTGAAGACGCCTCGGAAAGTAGTATGAGCATACAAAACCCTCTTCAAGAAGCCGGCTGTCGGAGGTTGACCATCTCAAGCGTTCTGGTCTTTTGACATCGTAATGTTGATTGTGGTAAGGATATTGAATATGAGGCTTATTTCAACATTGCTGAGGTGGTCTATAGAATTGACAAGGCTTAATCAAGGCTGGGGGCATCTTGAAATGGAAACCACTTATTCATAACAAATAAAATCAGCCCTTCTTGGAACATAATCAAGACCCCAACTACATACCAAGCACTAAGTCAGAATATCACTGAATCAAATCACTTATCAGGCCTTTCATCAGGACCGGACAAAGACACCAGGGTTAACATGGTAATACCTTACATTAAGTTAGAACTCCATATTACTAAAGACAACCCACATCATGGCGCCCTCCAGCGGCAAGGGATCAAGAATCTTTTCAACATATGCCGGCCAGTCGTCAATCCACTGCAATAGGGGAAAGATATGAGCGTATTCCCAATATGAAGGATACCATCCAGCTGATTCCCAGTCCACAAGAGCAGCTACTTCATACTCTTCTTCATTTGTAACAGAATTAACGATCTTTCGGACAAGAACATTCTCTCTGTGGAGATCTCCGTGGGTGAACATAGGCGGATGATTGTGAAGTGCTAATGGAAGATGGCGAATAAAATAATCAGAGAAAACACTGTGATTATTTGATTCGCTCCATATATTTTTTGAGCGAAGTGCGATGGCTTTTCCAAATTCTTCTTCCGTCTGAAAAGGACCAGTAATAATAGGGTCTTTCTCACGAGAAAAGAAATACCTATGGGGGACGGGTCCTTGGTTGACACTGCCGTAAAATCCAGGCGATGGTAGCGCCCTCATTTGATTGAAGATACATCGCAATTGTTCAACAATCGAATATTTATTTGCCTCAGTGAGCGAAGGCCACGCCATCCCTAGAGAAATGCCGGGAATATATTCCATGACGATATACAGGATATCCTGATCGCGGTACAGGGTATCCTGATCGCGGTACATGGCATAGAGCCGTGGTACTGCAATGTTGAGCCGTTTTTCAACAAAAAGTAGAGCATATCCCTCATTTTCAGTCACAAGTGGGCCATATTTCACAACGAATTTGTCTCTGATTACGACCAAGCGCCCACCATAATCTGATCTCTTGGGGAGGGTTCGTGTTGCCTGTGCAATCTCATTCTGATCAGGAAGAGGCCCTGGCAATTCACCGGTGTCCCGATAATAAGGAAGGGAGAATGGCATAGTTGGAAGGGCGACGTCTCACTGAATGGAACAGTTGATGGCAAGTTGAGAATTGCGGTCGGTTGGTCGGTTGGTTGGTCGAACGACCGTGGTTCACCGCCTAAGCTTGTGACCCACCATCCCTGACTGGGGCAAAGGCCGCCAAGCAAGTGAAGGGGAAATATTCTGCCTCCACTGCATATATACATATACAGACTTCCTGACCGTCCGCTGGCTTACCTACGCTGGCTGAACCTGCGCTTCGGTGGCGGAGACGCTCCGAGTGCACGGGCCTGTCAAATTTGTACTAGTCCCAAAGAGGAAGCCTTGCCAAGCACAGACTCTCATATTGCGAAAAGCAAGCCACGCGCTTATAGCTCAATCATTTGCGTCAACCGTAGCCAGTGCATGTGCAAAGAAAAACAATCCACCTTCCATTCCGGCCCTGTTGGGAATTGTCTGGAATCTATTCCCCGTACTGAGATTTGATCACAAGACTTGTGGTTATACTTCTTGGCTTCAGGTTAGTTATCGCAGTTTAAACAGGTCAGTGACAGTTCATCATAAATGAGCTTACAGGATCAAGGGAACATCCATTTTTGAAACAAATTTTTAAGCTAGTCTGGCCTTGTGTCAAAAGTATCAGTTGCTGGAGACCCAATGATTCAGTTCATTGGCCGCTTAGGCAACTTACTCAATTGTGTTCCTGTTCTGCCGATCCGAGACCGGATCAGTGTAGCGCCACCAGTCGGGGTATCTTCACCGATCAGTTTTGGTCCGTCTTATCGGTACCCGAACATTGTATGTTACTGTACTGTGTTATTCAAGGTCCAGCGCGTTAATATGATTAAACTTGAGGAGGCAAGAATGGGTGGGAGAGGGCAATTCTTGCAGACTGGGAGAAATTAGCTGCCCAACTTTCTCCCACCTTGAGATGGGAGTACAGTATACACAGTGATTGAGTTAGCTAAAGTTAGCGCAGCACGACCATGTGGGTCGTTCTTACAGCGGTTCCAATGTGTTCAACTCATCTCTATTTCAAGATTTTGCACTTTTTAGAGGGGCCTCAAGATCTTGCTTATGATTAATCGTCGACAAGAATCCCAGGGATGTTATGTCACATGTTTATGGCCAAGTACGCCACAGCACGGCCACCGAACCTGCAAATGCAACAAACACTAGGCTTCTTCGAGGCTTATGCAAGTTTATGAGGCACAGCCCCCCGCACCTAGTGATTTCCGCGCGTGCACATTCTTACCCCATCTCCTACGGACTCTTGGTTCGACGCAGCTATGCCAGTAAAACAGCCCGAAAGGCTCAAGGCCAGTGATTATACAGTCGGAATAATATGCTGCTCGCCAGCTGCTCTGGCGGCTTGCAAATTCATCCCCCGGCACTTTACCTATGAATTACTATAATAAGGACGGGATACTATTTGACAGGAACATCACTGTGCATGATGGGAGAAGAGAAAGAACACAAGGAAAGCGGCAGGGAAGAGGCAGCACACAGAATGGGGTAGGGGTAATCGGATTCAACTCCCAAGACGCTCAATATAACAACCCGAATGATATGATATAACAAACACAAAATCCCCAATAGCATGGAAGGTGGCGATGGTGAAGGTATACCCGGCTTTCGAAAGAAGAATGTACTGTATCGCGCTCTGTCCCAGACATGGAGATCTGGGCAACATCCAGACTGTTTATCGCAAACACGCGCAGGATATATATCGCATGAGAATAAGAATGGAAAATAGAAAGAGTAGATTGAAGAAAGTGGAGAAGGAAAAGAACAGATAAATGGAAAGCCAGATGAGGGATATATGCATACTCCTTCCCATCTAAATGCAGCAATCTCAACAGAAACACGCTCATCATTGCAAAGATGCAAGGCCAAAGCAACAAGCAAGCCACGTCACAAAGGAAAAGTTCTTACAAGAGATGCCAAGCGTACAAAGGAAACAAGCAAGTCGCCGGCTGAAGTTCATGACTGAATCCCGGTGATAAGAATAATAGCTTAAAGAATAGTCCAAAGCAAGACCTGCCAGCCGCAGGTATGGTAGAAAGTATCGCCAATCACACACGCAGGAAACTCTCAGGGATATCAAGCAAAAGACGGGGACAAGATATGTTCCAAGTACAATGAAGAGATTTTGGTGCGACCCTGCGCAGCGGACAATGTTCCGGACTGGGGGATGAGAGTCCGGGGAGCGGGAGAATAAGACAGGGGAGGAGGGTGAGAGAGATGAGAGTATGTGGTGAGCTTAAAAAACTGCGGCCAGGCCGTTCTTGGAATGACGCCTGCTAAAGCGCTTCTTCCCTTTCACCGACTCGGTGTCGGTGTTTTGGTGCTTGACAAGAGTGGCTCGTCCCGAGGGGGCGCTTTCGTTCTGGATCTCGGAGCTCCGGTCCAGCGTGTTGGCGTGGCTCGACAACCCGGATGATAGGTCCCGGAAGGCATCATCGGAATACGAGCCATTCCCCTGTTGGGAGAGAGCCATTTCCCGGGCCCGGTCGAGGTTGTCTATCCACTCCTGCACCGACAAAGCGGACGTCCCTACGTTGCCGGAAGCAGGCTTGGGATCCTCGAACACGAAGTGCTTGTCACGCTGAATGCCTGAAGGTTAGCAGCCATTCGTCCAATTCAATCAGGAAACAATCTCGTACCGTGTCCACAATCCAGCAGGAGAACCCTTTCGAGTCCGTCGAGGTCCGATATGAGGTGCCCGGCGCCAGGAGGGAAAGCTCCAGCTTCGCCTTCTTTTCGTCTCCTCCAGCCGCTGCCATGATGATCCGTCCGGACGAAGTGACCATCACCAATCGCTGCCGCTTCTTCGTCGTGCTGCCGCCAAAGAAGCGGGAGAATTTCCGGGGGGCTTCGTACTCGCCCCCATGCCGGGAAACGGGGCTGTGGGCTGCTGGAGATGATAGAACCACTAGGTTACCCAGCTTCAAAATTCGTTCGTTGTTCTTGGTCAATACCGGGGACCATTCGATGTCCAGTTGACTCGGAGCGGGCAATTCGGTCACCAGTCGGGGCACCACACGGGAGCTGGCATTGGGGCCTGAAGCGGCCGGATTGACACTCGCAGGATAGCCCTCACCATTACCTCCGCCACCGTTTAGTTTGATGGGCTCGCGAGGGGGTGCAACATACGATTTGAGACGAGGCGCCTTGCGCTTCCACAACTCCGGACCCCATGCGATTCCCTGGAAGAACTCATGGTTCTTGATATGCTCGATTGGCAGCCGACGGGCTGGATCCAAAACCAAGAGCCGCTCAACGAGATCGCGAGCTACGGCAGGAAAGCCGACAGGGAACTCATATTCCAGCCCAACAATTTTCTGGAACGTCTGGTACTCGTTTCCAGCTTTGAAAGGGGGCCGGCCAGCTAGGAGCTGGAAGATGATGCAGCCAAATGCCCAAAGATCACTTGCTTTGCAAGCGTTCTTATCGGTCAGGAGCTCGGGGCTCACATATTCCGCCGTGCCAACAAACGAGCTGGCGCGTTCCTCCTCCGGGATTTCGGAGGAGTCGAGCGGCGGCATCCCGCTCGAGTTTTGGGGTTTCCGTGGGCCTTTGAGGATCTTGGCCGTTCCGAAATCGGTAATTTTGATGTGCATTTGGCTGTCGAGGAGGACATTTTCCGGCTTGAGATCCCGATGAATGACACCGCGTCTATGCATGTAGTCTATCGTGTCTAAGATCTGAGCACCGTAGAACCGTGTACACTCTTCGTCAAAAGTGGTCATGCGCTTCAACACGCCCAGCAACTCGCCTCCCTTGCAGAGATCCAGCACAAAATACAACGAACGCTCATCCTGGAACGTGTAATACAGTCGGACAATGCCAGGGTGTTCGGTAAGTCGGTTGAGCGTGTCCTTTTCGATATTCACGTATTTCACCTTCTTCTCTTTGATGATGTGTCGCTTGTCGAGGATCTTGATGGCATATTCCTTCAAGGTTTGCCGATCGGTTCCGAGCACGACCGTACTGTAGGAGCCTTCACCAAGCGTGTGAGCAAACGAAAAATCCCGAACCCCCTTTTTGATGTATCGCGCGACCGGCTTTCCGTTGGCATCGATCTCTTGCCTTACCGCGACCGCTGCACCGCGGTCATGCCAGTCCTCGCTACTCGAGCTGGGCCCGTTCTCCATTGCATACGGAGATCCCCCCATTTGTGAGGCCCCTCCACCCCGCGCGTGAGCCCGTGAGGGCTGACGCATGAGCATCTGTCCGTTTGTTGGCGGCAATTGCGCGGTTCGATACGAGCGATCATTGTGATTGTTGTCGCGGACGGGGACTCCGGCCTGGAAGGCTGCGGAGCCACCGCGAGATTCCGCACGTGCTTGGTTTTCGGAGGCGGACGAGGCGGCGGAGTCAGTACGAATACGATAGGAACCCTCCCGAGCGGCTGCCAGGGTCGATGTGGATCCATTCGCGTAAAAGGACGACATAGGCCGTGAAGGCTGGGGAGCAGGATGTGGTTGCTGAGACGCGTAAGGAGGGTACTGCGGATTCGGTTGTTGCGGGAGGTCCGAGTATGGATTGTAGATGGAACTCCGATTGTCTCGCGGTTTGGATGCGGGTTCGACCGAGCCGGAAGTAAGGGTGTCTTGAAGATCGGTATGTGAGGGGAGATCGGGCAGTCTGGGAGGAGTTGTAGATAGGGCACTGCCTGGTCGTTCGGAGACCGTCTGTTCGCGCACCAGGTCGGAATCTGCTACGTCGGTAGCACCCGCGGCCGGAGTTGTTGGATCCTCAGAAGAATGCAAGGACGAGTCATCGGGGTTTGCGATGCGTAGTCCTCCTAAGGACTGGGACAGGCTGAGATCCCCATCCATGATGGGCAGCAGTGGGTTTGGGAAGAGACCAAGCCTTCAGGGCCAGAATGGGGGGTTGGGTTTCAAAGGGGGTTTGCGGGCGGAAGATGGTGAGGAGAGCGAGATTTGGGGGGGGGGGGGAGAGGGGGAGAAGGAGGAGGACGAATGGCTGACCTGGCAAGGCACCACCGTGGCACCAAGCAGACGGTCGAGATGGGGAAGGAAAAAGAAGCCAAAGAAAACGAACGAGCGGGCAGCGAGGTAGGGGAAGAATGGGGGGGAAGCTGAGGAGGAAAAGGAGCTTGGCCGATGGGATGAATAGAGGGGTGTGTTGCCGACGGACTATGGCGGCGGTCGGAGGAGCAGCGGATGATGCATGGTACAGCCAGACACAACCCAAGGCGGAGTCGAGGGGGTCGCTGAAACACACCCAACGCAGGACGGGGACGGGGACGGGGGAAAACAGCGAACAGGTAGAATGAAGAAACGAGAGGTCAACAGTCGATCAAAAAGGGAGGGAAAGGGGAAAAGGAGAGTTGAGAAGGAGGAACGATAGGAAAAGGGATAAAGGGGAAACTGGTGGTGATGGTGGTGGTCGTGGTCGTGAGGAGAGTGAGGAAGACGGAGAAGAGAGAAGAGGAAGAGAAGAGGGAAAAGCGGAAGATCCAAGCAGCAGTCGCAGCCTCAGGAATAATTCTGGCTGCCCACTGCGAGTCTGATTTTATTTTTATCCCTCCATGGCTCTCTGCCCGCAACGACGAAACATCGTGTCATGAAATCGGGTTATAATTATCGTGCAGTCCCAGCGCAGCAAGTCCCGGGCAATGCAGCCTGGTCGATGGATCCTAGCCACAACAACTGTCCACAACCATCCACTTCCTTGGAGCTGGTGATCTGAATTCCTTCAAGAGCCCTGTCCCCTGCTTCTTGATTATCCTGGACGATGCTCAGTTTACTGCTGCCTGGGTCCAATGATGCCGCTATGCACAATCCCATTGTTGCCGCTATTCCGGCCCTTTCTATACATCTCCCACTCCTTCCCAGTTGGATACATGGGTCTTACAGTAATTATCAAGGAAATAGTAATACATGGAGAGTACGACGTAGAATGTATGGAGGTCCTCGGAATCTACAATTCATGCCTATCATCCATCGCACCTGCCCTTTCTATGGTCCCCCTGGATGCGCGCCGTCAGCTTCCACCAGCCGGGGTACTTCGTTCGGAACAAACATCCACAGCTGCTTGCATCCCAGAAGATCATAAATACGAATCCAGCTGCTTCTACCCCAGCTGCTTGTCCGCTCACTTCAACTATAGCCAGCATAAGTTCCACTTACCATGATTAGATACAGGCCTACAAGCATCTCGCTGGGAGACGAGGATCTCCGGTACCACCTAGAAAGGCTGCTTCTTCGCTATGACAACATGGCCGAGTGGCATCAAAAAGCTCTGGACCATGACAGTTTCAGCGATGACGATCTAGCTTTCCTAGGTTCGGACTCGTTCTCCCCCTACGATGTCTCTCCGCCGGAGTCCTTCTGCAGCTCCGGCCAGGATTTCCCCGGTCAAAATTCCTCGCAAGCTGGTCAGGACAGGGAGGGTAGCCCTTATGGCTCATCGTCATTGTTCGATGAGCCAATCACTTCATCATCCCTAAGGGTGCCAGGTCGGATCCAAGCCATGGGAACCACCGGCTCGTCAGGCGCCCAAGGGTCGGGGTCGGCATCAAGCGCGATTGCAAGAACAGTCTATGAGAGTAATAATCAGATGTCCTGGAAGGAGTGTAGCAGACAGTCGTTCAGCCAATTGCCAGGAGTGCGGGGCGTTGAATGGCCGCAGCGCCATTCACTGGCAGGCCAGCCTTTCATTACAGCAAGCATACCATCCAGATTGGCACAGGAATTTTTCTGGAAGGATGCGGGCGAGGGTTTGAGTGTTTCGCCCAGTCACTCGACTTCCCGCCCACTTCACCTTTGCGCCCTAGAACTGAATCGAGGATCACTTCTGATAGGTTCTGGGTTCACCACCAGTCCTCTGCTTCTCATAAGCACATCCCAAGTGCATGACGGGAAGCAAGCAGCAGGTGAGTTCCAGACACAAATCTTGGCTTTCCCCAACAGCGGAGCTAACCGGCTATTTTTAGAGAACCTGAGACAAGCGTGCTCAGGCACCAAAGTACAGCGGCCTGGACTCGATCTTGAGATCCAATTACAATCCACATGTATCAGTCCAATTGCGCAAGACGCACGGTTTGTCGGGCTTTCTTCGAGTGCTTATCCGAGTACCGAGACAACGCTAGAAATAGTCGAGATGGCTGGTGGTGCAAATAAATCGACCAAGAAGACACGCGGCCAGCGGGCCAGCTCCTCCTCGATGGGGTCTGCTACTGTTCACCACAATGGCCCTGTAGAAAGCTCAGATACAGACATTGAAAATATTTCAGCAGCCCCCGTCGCTGGATTGCAGGAGAGTACTAGACCAAGGCCCACTGAAGCAGATGAGGCCAATCCCACTCGAAGGGTATGGACCCAGTATACCTGAGATTGTGGATTAGATGACTGGACTAACGAGAGTAAGGCTTCGGGAGAGATGGTCTCGCGGGGCACACAAACTGAACCGGTTCGTCTACCACCTTTGCAGGGCCATAGAGGAGCAATCCCCCGTCAGGCTTTGAGTGGCTCGCGAGCTGTCCCGGTAGAGGTAGGTGCAGATCCTGGAAGGTGGTCGAGAGGATAGTAGGTCTGATGTTCTTCGTCAACCACAGAAAGTCCACCAACGTGATCATGAAAACGACACTCGCAAAAAACCCAGAGCGCGGGAGGCGCCCACCATTTCAGGGCTGCTTCGAGATATACCCACGATGGCGTACGTCCAGAGGGCTCAGAACGCTAGTAGAGCCAATTCAGTTGCTTCTATACCATCTGCAAATCCACCTGTGCAGGGTGGTATAGGAAGCATAGCAGATCCACATGGAGAGGTACGTATGCTTTCACGTAGCCTCCTGCGCTGGCCACTGTTAACACCTGAGCAGAACCGGGCGTCAATCCACCCGCGTCTAGTGGAGGCCAGAGAGTTCCAAAGCTACGTCAACTTCATGCTGGATGAAGTCCAAGAGAATATTGAGGATGGGGTCGAGGACATTGGATCGGCGATGATGTTCTCGACGAGATAGGGCGGAGCGTGGTCGTTGCCGATGGCGTGTTTGGTGGAGAGACTGTGTGGATGACAGCAGGTGGATAGAAGCATGTCATCCGCAGTGGGGGGCATCTGAATGCACAGGCACTGCTGATATCACCGCCACGCCAGGCAGCGAAGGTCATGGGCGAGTGCAGCAGTGAGGGAAGGCGTGGATGGATGATGAATGGATGATACGTCGACCTCCTTGCTGCGGAGAATTGGACCCGTACCAAGATCTGAACCTCTAATTCTAATTTGACTGCCTGAGGTTCCAGGAGGTGCCATGCCTGTGAGCTGTCATCTGGTCGGAGATGTGTCGATGACTCTCGTATGATATGCAGGGCTCAGCCATTTGCCTCAACCAGTTGCGTGGACTGGGACGTAAAGCCTGGGGGCGGAGTGGTGGCCGCATCCAATGACCGTGGGGTTCCGTGAGGTTATTCGTCATCATTCAACAACGTCCCCAAGGCTGAGCCATCCATCACGCAAGCTGTCAAGCGTCAACTGTAGGGAAGGACAGGCTGTGTAGACATTAGAGCGGTGGATTAGCGAATGTCGAATTCTCCGGGCCCAAGTTCCCTGGGACGCGGATGCAACTCGACAGTCGACCGTTCGATAAGGCTGAAACGGACCGAGTCGATGACAAGGTTACAATGCGGCCGGCCGTCCGTCACCCCCAACAAGGAATCGATTATGTATTCCTGACACGGTATACTCAACCACCATCATGACTTTCTTATGTGAAACAATGCCATCATCGTCACCACCCTCCTCGCCATCCCGACCCAGTTGATCGCCATCGCGGATGACCCCCCCGGCTGGCTGGCTATTTTAAGTTCCTCCCGCGCCGGCGGGTTTCTGCACTCCATCCATCTTACGCGGCCTGCCCCGCTTGGCCGTTTCGGGGTCCCGCTCTGGGCCTGAGTGCCTGGATTGTATGTTTGGTTTGGTCTGGTACGTACGGTACGGGTGAGTTAGTTGGGTCTTGCCGGATAGGATAGATACAGTAACATTATGCAGAGGAGCTTTGTTTACTATGTACTATGGTACTCCGTGGGAAGTCATGTATGCTTTTAGTTGGATATTTTATATATATATATATATAAATGCTTATAGTACTTTACCTTATGAAGAGGTGCAGCAACTGTTACTTTTCCTCTACACCAACAAAAGATATAGATATCCAGTCGTACTCTCCATGTCTCCTACACTCCATCACTCATCCACTCATCCAAACATAAACATATCCAACACCCCATACAGTCTGACAGAATACTACAAATCCAATCATCGTCCGTTAATCACCCAATACTCCATGCATAGTACTCACAAAGATAAAATATCCCGCTCCCCCCATGACGTAGTGAAACCCCCGATGGCTGGCCCCGTCCACCCCTCAGCCTTATGAGAGTAAGTGGGTTTCGTTGGTATACTTTACTATATATACTGCACGGATTGGTTTTGGTAGACAGGCGGGAAAGAAAAGGACCGGGGTAGTGGGGACCAGGTACGATGTATCATGTAGGTACTGGATTTCTACGGAGAAAGATGCTCATGCGATGATCTACGGTTCATCAGAGATCATATTTTCGTGACGGGTTAGGAGGGGAGGGAGGTGGATGTACAGTAGTCCTGCGTGTGGAATTGGAACCAGCATGTAGAGTGTAGAGCGCAGATAGGAGGGAGCTAGAGGCTGGGCTGTATTTGACTTGGCTCGTTTCATCGGTCAGGGTGGATTGGCACGGGGTGATCACCTAACTCACGTCATCAAGCAGGATCAATTCGGAAAATAATAGTAGACTCTTTGAGCATATACCATAGCAAGGAAACATCTATTCATGTCTAGGATGGTCTCGTGGAAAGCTAGGTAGAAAGAAATCGGTGATACGCATCACAAAATGGGCTGCAAAGACATCTCCCATACATCGCTTTCAAAAATGGGTAAATAGGTTAAAGTAGATAGAACAAGAAGAAAAAAGCAAAGTGGCTCCCGTTGATCGTAAACAGATCTCTAAAATCTTTTGCCCCTGGAATCATTCAAAAAAAGAGATTAAAACCCATGTACTTTCTATAAACATCGCATCCTTTACTGCGCCTTGTTCTTGGAGAACGCCTGGGCGCCGTCCACCAGACGACGCTCGGTGTTCTGACGACCGTTGACGAAGTCGGGGTAGTTGAGAGTCAGCTCGACAGCGCCGTTGACAATGTTGTCCACAGCCTCAACACCGAGCATGAACGAGTGATCCTGGTTACCAACCTCGTAGCGCCAGCTACCGAAGCGGCCACGGGTCCAGATGTCCTTCTCCTGGAGCTTGGGCAGGATCTTGGTAAGAGCGCCCTCACGCTCCAGGGAGGGGGTGGGGTAACCGTGGTCAAAGCGGCGGTGGTAGGTCGACACAATCTCATCGGTGGGCTTCAGCATCTCGGTGTTGACGAGACCCTGGATAGAGTCGGCCAGAAGAGTCTCGTAGTTGACGGGCTTCATCGAAGACTCGGAAACCTCCAACATGATGGACCAGTAAGGTCCCTCCTGGGCCTCAGTGTTCTGGGGCTTGGAGCCGTCCGCGAGCTGCAGAGTGGGCAGCTTCTTGGAGCTCTGGGGCTGGTTGTAAGGAGAGTAGTTGGAGAAGATGGTGGCACGGTAGAAGGGGCAGTTGTCCTCGGGGAAGTAGAGCTAAAGGCGACGGGGTTAGTCCAAGCCCATCTTGCTTCTGGTCAAAACGCAGATAAACTTACCCAGCACTTGTCACCGATTCTCTCGGGGCGCTCACCACGGATACCGATACCGATAACATGAGTGGAAGAGTAGAAGAGCTCCTTGGTGAGGCCGACGAGCTCCTGGTCGCCGATCTGCTCAGCAAGGTAGTCGACGGCCATGGTGGAGACCAGCTTCTGGTAGCCGACGGTGGTGCCATCACCCAGGGTGACGGTCTTGTTGTTGGCATTGACCTTGACAACCTTGCCCTTCTCACCGAAGCGGGTCTTCTCCTTGGGGAGAGTGTCCGCGACGGCGATCCAGATACCACCAGTACCGCCGTGGGCGGGGAAACGGAAAGTAGCGTTGGGACCCCAGTTACCAGCGGTCTTGTTGAGGATGACATTGGTCGTCACAGCCTTGACATTGGGGGCAGCGACACGCTCACCCAGCCAAGCACATTGCATCTAAAAATTGGCGTATCAGCACCTGAATTGTCACAGGAACATTGATTCCGATAACCTACCTTGGTCGTAGGCACAGCCCAAACCTTGAAGTTGTAGGGTCTCATGAAAAGGTCGGCGATACCAGTACCCATCTGGCGAACGATCCATTCGTCAAAGTTCTGGGGCTTGGTGTTGGCGACGCGAGCCTCAAGGGCAGCGTCGATCAGGCCGTCGATACACCTGACCTGCTCATGCTTGGGAAGCATGGAGATGTTGTTCTGGAAGGGGTAGGGAACCCATTGCTCCTGGCAGCGAACGTAGGAGATACGCTGGTGGGTGTACCAGTCGTCATCCTTGGGGAGGGCCTCGTTGATGCAGTCGTCGAAGTACTTGTAGTGGGAGAAGATAACGTGACCACCAACGTCGAAGAGCTGCAATTGCCGTCAGTCAATCGTTGTCTGTTGTTGCAGGCGCAGCTAGAATGAACATACGAAGCCTTCGGGAGTCACATCGGTGGAAGCAAGACCACCGGGGGTCTCGTTGCTGTCAACGATCAACCAAGAAGGGCCATCCTGCACCAAGCAATCAGTATTCGAGGGATTGTAAACGATAGGCGGGCAATTCGTACGATCTGGTTCAAACGCTTCGCGGCACCGAGACCAGTAGGGCCGGCACCAATGACGAGAACGTCAACGGAGCTGGAGCAAAGGCAGCAGTCAGCACATGTTTCACGGGCAGTTGGAAGCTTGTCGGGGAGGATGGGGGGGGCACTCCTTACATATCGGGGTGGGTCATCCTGCCTTGTAGAATATCCTGAAAGCTGGGGACACGGTTCAAAGTCCTGCGAGCGAGGCTAAGCATAGAAGACAAGAGGTGAAGCTGCAGGAGGCTGCAGTATTATAAGAGAGAGAGAGGGGAGGAGGGGATGAGGAGAAGAGGGCGAGAAAGGGAGGAGAGTGCCGTAAGGTATAGGTGTAGCAGTCGGTGGTCGGTCGGGAAGGCGAAACGTGACAAGCACGGCGGTGGGGGGGCGCTGGGAGTCGGTTTCAAGTTTGGGCCCTAACAGATCAATCAATCGGATTCTCGGAATTCCCCAAAAAAAGGCCACTAGGACGAATCCATATTAATATTAATATTAATTCGGGTCGGCGCCGCCCCAGTCGCGGAGCCTTGGAAAAGGGGCAAAGGGGACAAAGCTAATTTCCAACTCCAATCAATCCAAATCATCCCTCATCTTAAACGCCTGGAGAACGCATGGGTCAGCAGGTCGCTTTGGGAAGTAATTGCCTTGCGCCATCTGTGCAATCAGGCCTATTTACGGATGCATGAGATGTAAGAATAGTATCCGATCATCCAAACTGCGCCCAGCTACGAAGTAGGCTTCACGACTATGGAAACACGCAACAATCAATTTTCCGTAGATTCCGATGGTACGATTGGTCCCAGTTCACTGCTTATCGTCACGTCTGAATGCAGCACCTACTCTCCAGAGTCCACCGTCCAAGCTCTGGGATACCGTGATACGGGGTTCATGGGGATTTCTCGGCAGGCACCGGCCTGCCAGGGGCTATCTATCTACTCCGGACGGCTGGTGGAATGCATGTGCATTGCTCCCGCTTGGTTAAGGGTCCTTTTCAGTTCTCCGTAGACCTCCATCCTACTCCGTACTCCATCTGGCTCCATCCTGGCGGAGTGATGGTTGCCGACTTCCTAGAATAGCAATGCGATGCAGTCACGGATCTTGAGAACAAGAGTACTATGAATATCCCATTGAATGGGAATCCTTGGGGATCTATACCTACCAAGGGCCTTGCAGCTATATTGGGATATCCAGTTTAAGCCCGCGAATCCCGA